CAGGAAACCCCGCAGCCCGGCCTTGGAGGGGAAAGTTGATGCTCATGCCAGCTGGGCCTGCAGCCTGCTTCCTGCTATTCTCACCAGATAACCTGCGACAGGTTCTCCATTGTGGGGTGACAGCACTATGCACATCACACTCACTCCAGCCACAACAGTCAGGGGATACCCACACCTTTCACCTTAATCACAAGCACCAGAATTTAAGCTGGCCTGAGAGGTTCTGACCCCACGGCCAAGGAGCTTCAGCCTCCAGCACTGTCTCCCCAGCTTTTTGAGCGTAGAGGCTTTCCCTTCTAGCTCGTCCAACATCCGCAGCTTTACCTGCAGGCCCATTCGAAAGAGGAGTGCCGAATTTCCCGGTGGAGCCTGGTATCCCGTTAGTTTCAGCAGATGGGAAGCTCTTCTGCGTGCCAAGCCTCTAAAACAAAGATCAGAGGTAAATCAAGGCTCTATTATTTCAGGCTGAATCCATGAAACATGCTTTAGAGACAGTGACAGAACTTGGCTAAGCTTACCTCCACCGAGCCATCTTTCAGCTTAACTGATCTCTTCTCTTGCAGACTGAAGAACTTAATGGGGTTGGAGAGCGCAATGGTCAGATCTAGAAACAAAGAGAAGGGCTTTTGCTCTGTTATCAAGTAACTCACTGCGCTCTGATTTTCCTTGCCTTCCGGTTTCCTTTCTGGCCCAGCCCAGGGAACTGGGGAGAAGGGGTATTTTGTCTTCTCTCCTTGTAACAACCTTGTCCCTGACAGCACAAAGCAGGGGACCCCCTTCACCTCAGTCGACGGCTCACAACTGATGTAGACGGCAGCTCCGTGAAGCTGGAAAGACCATACTGCTCCCAAAGTCTAAAGCCAGGCTAAGACTTCCCTAACCTGCACAGCTCCCTGCTCCAGTTCCAGTCCAACGCTGTATAAACCTCGTCTTTTCTACGAATGTGTGTTGAACCCGTCCGTTTCACAGGATTTCCCCGTGAATAAGGTTCATTTGTGTGAAGAGTAAAGTTATTAGAGACAGTAAACATGAGAAGTATTCACAAGAGCTTCTGTGGCTGGTGCTGTTACGTTCTGCATGGCTTTGTTCATGATTGTTAACAGGTTTTGCTGTTAATAACTCCGGTGGGGCTTCCCTCCTGATTCATCTCTCAGTGTCTGACCATCCCATCCCCTTTTTAAAGGAAGATCACTGTACCTCAGTACCAGCAAGAACCTCCCTCTCTTCAAACAGGGAGGAAGAACGCTCCGGTGCTCCCTAAAACCCTGTTCTCGTCAGTCCCTGATAGTTATTCCCTCCCCCTGCCACTGAGTAGAAGCAGCAGAGAGACGGAGGCATGCCAGACCAGAGACAGAGCTACAGCTGCACGGCACGGCAGGTGCGTGTGCATCGGCCCGCGCTGGGAACCAGGCACAGCTACCGTGCTCACGTGCTCAGGTCCCGCCCTGAGAAGAAAGGGTGCAGCAGGAAGGCACCCCCCGGGCTGGAAAAATGCTTCAGGATCACAGTGTGGACAAAGCCAGAGCAAACCCCCCCTCCGCTGTGTTCTAACGCCTGCTACCTGCCCAGGCATCAGGAACGTAGTCCTTTATTTCCAGGTACACAAACAGAGAAGGCATGGTGAGCGGCATGTTGCTTTCACTGCGGAGACAAACGTGGTGGTAGCCTGAAAACAGAAAGCAGCAGAGGTGAGCCAGAATCCCTGTCCCTTCCCGTCTGTGTGCTCCGATAGGAAAACAAAGTCTCTCGTTACAGGAGGGCATGGTGAATATAGTATGAAATTAAGCCAAGGCTGTAACAGGATGAATTTGAAGGCTCCACTGCCTACAGAAATGGAGATGAAGTAGCAAAATATGCAGCTGTTTGCATCTTCTTTACAGCTTCCAGTGGATAGGTCTCACGGGCACAAAAGGTGAAGGGATTTCCGCAAAATTTACCTGAGTGCAGTGCAATAACGGGAATGACACGATGACCGACGAACTTCCCTCCTTCCTCCCAAGCCACAATTTTGAGAGAGGCCAACTCGGGCATCATGATCTAAGGAAAAACCAGCATAAGGCACCAACGTCCTCACCTCTAACTCCTAACAGCATATTGGCTTCACTGAGTAGAACTTTACTCTCTCCTCCTTCCACCAAACCGATGCCATCTCTCCAAGGAAATCATTGCCTATTTCTGCACCTTGTAATTTAAGGCTGTAGTTTATGGCAGACAGAGCTGAATTCACAGAAACTCCACAAAACACAGCCTTCTCGGAGGAGAGATGGCACAGGATCGCAGGAGGACAGTTTACCTACAGAAAAATTGGGGCAACAAACCCTCCAAAGCACGACTTCCAGGAAGCAATTCACCAGAGAAGGGAATCAACTTGCAAGGATAATTTAGCAAGCATGGTATCTGTGCCATAAGGGCTCCTGTCTCCCTCCTCCCCCATTTTCTTCTGCTATAAAATGAGCTAAAAATTATTCTGCCAGAGCTGAAGCCTGAAAAGCGTTTTCTGAAATGAGGATAATACTTATCTACTGCATCCCAAGTAGGCTGAAGATATCTGCTGTTTCACAGTGTGCTTGACGGAGATGAACCGCCTAACGCGTATTTGCCTTTGCAGCTCACTGCAGAAAGCCCAGACGTTACTATCACCTTTGACTTGACTTCCCCGTACCCCACAGCTGAATTAGGGACCACTGAATTCTCGTGGACAGCAGGGCAGCTTTTCGTATTCTGGCACAACTGAACCTCGCCCCGGTCCTGTTACTTCTCCAGTTTGTCTGTTTCTCATTTACAGTTTAACCACAGACATTCAGTTCCTTTCTGCTTCCTAGTGCCTGAAGCTTTCAAAGCTGATGAGACAATCACAAACAGGAGACTTTTGATGCCTGTTATTTCCAGAAATGTTCCCAGCTACGCCTTGCCTGTACAGGGAAATACTGATGGAGAGTTGCTTTGGATACTGCTGCTGGATATTATCTGAGAGGGCAACGCGCAACTCCTTCTGTGTCTGACGCCGCAACCGAGATCTCCAGAAGGGAGTCCCTGCTGTTGTCCCTGACCTCTCAAAAGGCAGTGCTGGTGGCCAACGGGATCTTTAAGGATTCTCTGTCTAAATGACTACCAAATGTTATTACCTTTTCAAAAACAAAGGGCTCCTCTTTCCACACAGGGTTAATGGAATTGGCAGTGGAGGTCAGTTTGGTTCTGTACTTGCGTTTTGTGTCCCTTGGCAACCCAAACAGCTCTACTTCCACATATGTCTTCACGCTGCGGTCGGAGAGGAACTGACCAGAGAGTATCTACGAACAAGCAGAAACATAATTACCAACTGCTGAAAAGAATAAACCAGAACCACCCACCCGTACCTTCACCCCTAAGTCGCTCTCCCACCCCAAAACATCTTTTCTGCTGCAGATTCCAATCTGCAATAGGCTTTTCTTTTACCTCCACCCATGCTTCTTGCTGCAGCACTTCTCCAGCCTCCACCCTTCCCCATTATCACAGCCTTGGCTGCTTCTGTGTGGCAGATGCTAATTTTCCATTTTCATGCGATTATGATTAATTTAAAATGGTGAAAAGACTGGGAGTTGCCATGGTAACACTCTCCCACAGGATTCGCTGGGTTCATTTGCCACTAAGAACCCTACTGGGTAGTAAACAGCGGGGACACAGATGCCAGTGATATACGTGGTGCCAGGAACTGGCTGTCAGGGGAGGAGCAGCACCACGGTTTGTACTTGCCGTGACAGACAGGGTACTTGCCACCACCACATCAATGCGGTCCACAGAGAAGGGGTCAAACTGCTTGTCCGGACGCCGCATGAATTCGTGCTTGAGCAGATAGCCACACTGGCCGTTGAACTCAAAGAGAGCCAGGTTCTGCTGCATGGGGACATCTGAGACACAGAGGAACACAATGAGAAAAATTTCTGTGGGACCTCCTCAGGTGGCTTGTGAGCTACGAGTTAGCTGAAGGATGCTGTACTTTTACAGCCCCTGCTAGCCAAAGGCTCACAAAGCCATTTCAAAAACCAATTAAGCCTCTCAGCACCCTACAGGGAAAAATATTACAGCAGCTGTTGTAAGAAAGGTAAGTGGTTTGCTTACGACTGCACCATAAGTCATGGGTAGAACTAAATTAAAACCTACTTGAAGACGTACCCGCTATTTTTGGGTGTGAAGTAAATAGTTGTCTGAACCCCTGTACTCCTCCCCCCTTTCATCTGGGGCCTCCTCTCGGTCCATCTTCTGCTGTGCCACTTCTCTTGAGAACACTGTCTCGTGGGTTCTGCACCCGTCTTCAATATGATGTCCTCTTCATAACTGATCTCTCACTCTCTCCCTTTCAAAGCCGCCTCTTTTTTTCCCCTACTGATCCTACAGCTAGTCTGCTACGCTCTCTACACAGAACGTACTCCTCTGAGGACGGAAGAGGGGTGAAGAATAGCTTTCTGTGGAGGCTTTCCTTTGTCTCCTTCTCATGCTGGCTGTGCAGCAAGGAAAGGCCCTTCTTCCCTGTTCAGGTCAAAATACTGGCAATGATAGCACGGTCCCAGAGCCAGCTGGAGCTCTGCCTGCTGCCTCGCAGGAAAGGAGGCGGCTCGGGGGCAGCGGGAGCTTCTGAGGCACTCACGCACGTTATTTAGCCTGACACAGCACTACAGGACAGCCAGGGACGGTACCCAGACACACTGGATGACAGCAAGTCCAGGTATGTGTGCATGCACACGTGTGTAGGAGACCCTGAGACCACGTGCCAGGTTCATGCTGGTGCTCTTGGTCTACGGGAGATGGAGTCAGATAACACCACCCCTCTGGGAGAAGGCACACAGGATAAACACATGCAGGGGAACAGCAGCGAAGGAAGAGACAGCGAACATGAGCACAAAGCCTCCCCCCCTCAGAAGCCGGAGGACAGTGTGACACTCACCCATGGTCTGGAAGTTGAGTGCCACCATCTGACAGCCGACGTTCCAGAACATCTGGGGCATGTAGTTGGAGGAGTCCATCCGGGTGCCTTTGGGGTAGATCCGGCTCATCTGTCGCTTGTTGTATCTACAGTTGCTCTATTGGAAACAAGTCTGGAGCACTCCTTGGGTACTCTGGGGATAGCTCACGTACTCAGACCATGCAAATTGTTTAAGCTCTACTACCAAAGGCTCAGAGCCTTCCAGACAAGAAGAGGCGCCCTGGCAACACCAGGCTCATTGCCCACACCCGTTCTGCTTCACGACAAGCATCTGGCAGCCCTGGTGTTCACTACAGCAGGAAGCATCCTGTCAGGAACCTCTGTGAGCAGCCCCAAAGCCACCCTGGAAGATCCCGTGTCCCACCTGCACACACTGTATCTCTCATGAAGAGTTTACCAGGTCCTGAAACCAGAAGCCAGCTGGATATGCCTCAGCCTTACCCACGCTTCCGCTTAGCTCTCCTGCTCCACACACCCAGCTACACCTGACAAAGGTTGCCGAAAGGATACTCTACAAACTGCACAGGGAACTTGGTTAGTAGATCGTACGCCTTCAACTCTGTGAAGGAAGAGATGACGTAACTCCGGTTCTTCTCTAGAAAGAGGAGATCAGAAAGCGCTTAGGAGAAAGGCGTGCCCAGCCCCCATTCTCTGTGCGGGGACTGACAGACCCAAGAAGCACTTGGCCTGTTTCCTCCCACTTTCTACCAGGTACTTTTCTATCAAGGCAATTTACCTTTCTCTGGTCCCCTGAAAAGGGACTTAGACTACTACTCCGTAAAAGGTGATTTTACCAGGGAGACAGTGGTTGGGCACTACAGGACAGGAGCTTCACGGAATACAGGCAGGACTGGCTTGCAAAGCTCGAATGGCAGTAATTTTGCCCATCTCTTCCTGGATTTCAGTGACATTTAGGGAACAGCTCCTGCCTGGAGCTCCAGTTCCAAGGGAATCCAAATATTCAAAGTCTTGCACAAAGTTCTTTGTCAGGTTTCCCCTTCTTCACTCCCCTATTTTTTTCTTTTTTCTTCTCTTTCTTTCATCAATCAAACCAGATCATTCAAAGTGAGACCCAAATGTGGGAACTGTTTAGAGGAACCGATTGTGTATAAAGAAACTGCGTGCGTGCGTTTTCAGCGTGTCAGATGTTTCTCTGTCCAGCCACCACAGAAGAGGAAGGCCAGTACAGACATGAAGGAAAGCTGGGCTCAACCCTGCCCTGAGAAGCAGCAAAGCCAGCCCACAGCGGTGTCACCGGCCTCTAGGCTGTTTCTTTTCATCCTCACTCATACAACTGGGAGCAGTATCTGACACACCCCTGTCTTCTCCTTACCAGTTCTTTACTACAGGGAGGAGGGCGGAAGGGAAGTGTTTGAGACCACGCACATGTTGTGGGAGAGAGAGAACCCAAGAGAAAATGGGGGAAAGCAAGTCACAAAGGCAGGTGGAGAACAGCAGCACCTGAAAGCACTGCTCTCCTGGTCGAAGGGAAGTACCTGGGATTCTGAAAGGACCAAGTTTGACTTACGGGCAGAGACTTCAAAGGAGTCAAATTTGATAGGCTGGATGTAATTAACTAGGCTGGACATTTCCTCGTATGCTGTCACTTCCAGACCAGCAGTGCCCTGAGCAGAAAACAAAACCAGGAGAAAACAGATGAAGGGACCTTTCCTAGAGGTGAAACGGAACCCACCTGGGCTTCACAACCACAGAACGCTGATGGCTGCCCTGACCAGAGCACACCAGCTGCTTTGGCTTCCTGGTCCTACAATTACTTTCTGGGCAGTGTAGTCAGGGGCAAAGAGTTTCTAGGTAGCTTGGAACAAACTGAAACTGAGGAGTGCAGAGAGGTATCGGTATGCAAGAAGCCCCGGACCTTTGTAACCTCTCAAAGCGTGGAGTCTGGGACAAAGTGGGGATCTTGTTTTCCCTCCTCTCTGAGCGGTACCAGGGAGACAGAAATGGATATTTATGTATTTCTTTAGTTCAAGGGAATGCTGACCTCCTCCTTCCCCCTTCAGCAGCAGCACTTCATGTTTCAGTAACGACTTTTCTCAGACTAAGGCTAAGCCTCTCCACACACTCTAAAGGCAGACAGTTATCTCCAAATCATGCAGAATATCAAAGGCAGAGTCAGAAAGAATAACTCTTCTGCCATATTCCCTGTGCTTGCAACATCATTGCTCTTACTCAGTTTCTCCTGCAAAAGTGACGTTGCATGGGGGAAGGAAACCCCTGAGTGGTCATCGCACCGTTCATTCCCCTTTGCATTTTGGGTTCATCTCTATTCAACATGGTGAGGCCCCAGAGAAAACTGGAGGCCAGAAAAAAAACCAGAAAAGGAACAGAAACAACAGTGACAGTACCTCATCTGACTGCATCTTTTTGATCTCCTCTTCATCCAAGTTTCCAAGATGTTCATCCTCTTCCTCTGGTTCCTCTTCAGCCACATCACCTGCCCAGACTAAGCACACACAGCCCCCATCAGCAGCACAAGACACCGCAGACCGCTAGCAACGGAGAGCTCTGCGAAACCTCACAATCAAGGAACAGTCAGTGGAAAACTCCTACAATTTTATTAGCCAAATCCAAATACGAACTAGGACACTGAAGAGACCAAATCATTCCTCCTGCAGGCCTCCCTCGTGCCCCAGGAGTGACGATCACAACACTGTTCTCCCCACCAAGGCTGCACACATTTGTGGGAGGAAGTGTCCATTCCTAGGTGCCCTGCAGTGGCGCCCACCTTGTCTTCGTGTGCTCCTACCATGACAGGGACTGAAAACTCACTGTTCTACCACAGGTTCCCTGAGCCCAAGAGGTGACAGCCTTCAGACCGGAGGAGAGGAGGAGGGCGGGGTTAAAGGTTCTACAGACCTTCAAGAACCTCCCAGGGAAGAAATAGGCCGTGGTGAATTTGTGGTTATCAGAGAGCTACAAGCAGTAAAAAATTATCCACCCTTCCGTCAAGCCAACAGCCACTGTGTATCACTGAATTACCAACTCGTGAAGCCATAGGCCTCAGAGGAGGCACAAGAGTTGACTGATGGGCAGGGCGTAAGTTGATCGTCTCTTTCGGTTGGAATGAAGCGTTTGAAAATATTCTGAAGATTTCAATTCTCTTCCAAGCTTACGCTGCTTCTTGAGATAACTAACTTAATGACGAGTACTGGCTTCCCTCAAGCTAGTACTGGGTGATCTGGAAGGTCTCCAGTGGGCCAGACTTGCTCATCTAGCTATACTAGTCCCATTTTCTCATCAGACATACCAGTATCTTCAGCATCCATAGGGGCTGGCTGCTCAGTGATTTCTGGTTCCACATTCCTCCCTTTCTTCAAAGAGTTCTGCCTCTTCCCAGATACAGACTGATTCTTTTTGTTCTTAATCAAGATTTTCCCTAGGAGATCCTTAGGACTTGGCAGAGGAACTCCTGGCTTCAGCTGCAACAGATAAATTTACTGAATTTTCATCACAAGGACAGAATTCAAACACTCATCTCTCCTGTCCCTCCCAGTATCGTTCCTCTGGCCATTTACTGGTGCACAGACACATCTCTCACCCACCACTTCAATTTCTCCATCTGCCAGCATATCCCACTATATCTACGCGATATTTCTCTAAGACTTGACCTTCGGTTTCAGACCAGCATTTTGCTGCTCTCGGCCCTCTCATGTTCTGCTGCCTGCACATGCCGTGCTGTTCCCAGCCACCCATCCTTCGCCACAGCTGAAAAACCATCTACATGGCCTGAAGGCATCCGCACACCGCCTGCACATTCCACCTACTTCCCTCATTATCCCAGCGCCTCGGTCCTAGATCAGCACTCCGGCCATATTTAAACACTCTGCCTGCAGCAGGTTTGGAACAAAGATCCCAGAGTAGGTGGCTTCAGACAAGGGCATGTGACTCAGACTGTGCTCCTGGACCTACACTGCCTGCCCAGACAGCAACAGGCCTGTTAATGATTTAGCTAATACCCTGTTTCCCCCCCCCACCCTCCCTGTTTCTCCCTATTGCCTGGACAAGGACACGGGTCTGCACAGTGGGCAACCACCGATTAGCTCACGGCTGCTTTTCAGCTCTTCTTTTGATCTCAGTGCTTTAAAATAGATGCTTGGGCCAGGTGTAGCTCCCCCCTCCACTACGTATCCCAAGGAACTGCCTCACGCTTTGCAGAACACAGGCACTGCCCGTTACTTGTCAATCAGTGTCCATTCGCAAAGCATTCATGGGGGGTCCCCAAAGATGTCACTGTCTCCACACCAATGCAGGCTTCTACAAGTAAGCTGGTGACTCGGGTCAAGCAGGCCAGGAGCTTTACTCGGCTCTTCTAAGCACAAAGCTACACCTGTCACCGACCTGCCCAGCTACACCTGGAAGGGAGATTTCCAGGCAGGAAGCGGGAATTAAGAAGCACTGGCAGGAAGAGCCCGAGATGCTACTAAGCCCTTGTTCCTGTTTCTTTCCCAAGCAAGTGCTGGCAGACAGATTTGAAACAGAACCACGTGCAAAAATACACTGACTCATCTTGGTGCAGCTGGTACGACTTGGCCTACCTTGAGCTCAGTTGCTGAACTCACTCCAGCCACAGAGCGTTAACAGGAGCAGAGTCAGACAAGTGCTTAGGAAAACCCCTGCGACTGAGAAGCCTTCCATCCGCTTACTGCGCTGCGCAGCCTGAGGAACCAGGCTTGTTTGTCCATGGCGTCGTCTTCTCTTCCACTGTCCTTCTAGCTGTTGTGGCAGCTCTTAGCAAGAGTGGCCAAGTTTTTCAGACAGACCTCTCCACTAGCCTCCTTCCCCAGCTTCCACTTACTGGGTGTTTTTCCAGTGGCTCTGTCAGCAGCATATCTCCAAATACGGTTCGGCAGTACTCAGCCATCTTCGCCTGCTGCTTGGGCCTAACGAACAAAGAGACCAAGCAGGAGTGAACAGGAAAACAGATGCCAAAATCCAGAGCTCAGCATGAACAAGGACCTCGCGATCCACGTGCTCTACCCAGAAAACCACCTCTTGCCTTCGCTCAGACTTCTATGCAGATCTTGAAGCCCCTGCCCAGGACCATTCCCATTTGTTTGCACCCTGCCATCCTGAGCTAAAAGGCTGCACAACTGTGGTCACCCTCACTCTGCAGCTTATGGCTCACCTTTCAGCTCGGACCCACCGCCAGCTGCTTCAGAAATCTCCACTGATGTTTCATTTCAGCACATGCTCTCACTTAAAACCCCACAGCCCCTGCCTGAATACTTTCTGCTCTGGACAACAGAACACAATTCTCCCAGTCACTAGATACTCACGAGTCCACGTGGTTCTCAAAGGACAGGATGACAGGGTAGAGAGATGTTTTAAAAGCACTTTCTGCAATGGCCTCAATGGCATCCTAAATGAGAAGCAACGGTCAGAGAAAAGCTCGGCGCTCATTAATGACAGAGGCATGCAGCTCACCTCCCACTGAACAGGCTCCAAACTGATCACTGCCAGGAGCTTCTCTTTAAGGTAATTAAACTTCTCCCAGTAAGAAGGTGAGAAGTGTCGTCTTTTTCATACCCGTGCAGATTTCCAGCTCCAGAGGACCCAACATGCAGCTAAACTCAACAGCTTGCATAAAAAATGAAGCTGAAGATGTAAGGATATCAGTTTTTATTTTTGTTACATAGTTCAGCATATACATAAATGAATATGAAAGCGTCTTGCCAGAGAGGCAAGCCACTGCCACGTGCACTTTGAATTGGTAGAGAAAGGGGTGTGCAGCACCAGATTAAACTGCTTCAAACCCTATTTGTACCTACCTTTGAACCTGCCTAATTTTCTACCATTTCACTTGCTTATAAAATCCTTTTGTCTAGCAGCAGAGAAAACTGAAATGTTCAGTAACCAGCAGCACTGGCATTTCAAATGCTAATACCATGGAAACGTTCTCAGCATTAATGATGTAAGAAAAAAAAAAAAATAAAATCATGTTTTCCCAAAGCCCCTGTTAAACTGCCACAAACTTTCCACTATTTTCGTTTCTGGTGCTGCTAATGACATGGTAAAAAAGTGTCATTTGCTCCTTTGCAATTACAGTCCCCCACTCCCCCAAAATCCTGGTACAGCCATCATCTTAGCACCGAGGGAGGCTGCCACAGCTGCTCCTGCATGGACCACCTGGACTTTCTATCACAGAAACCTGCAAGGTTCAGAGGAAGAGAAGCTCCAGAAAAAGCTACTGAAAGGCCACAGGCAATGGCAGAAAAGGGGGAGAGGTGTGGACGGAAAGATGGACGCATTATGTAAAACTAAAGCCTGGGCACATGCTGCGTTAACAGGTTACAATGTCCTTGAGGTACAGTCACATGCTGTAGCAGAACGTTGCAATTACAGCAGCTACAGCTGCCATTATTTCTCCTACCTGCAGTGAACTGCTGTGCAAAAAGCAGCAGTGCTACTACAGGATTTGGGGAAATTACTGACACTCAGTATGACAATACCTCTGATCAAAAGGATTGGGATCCCCCCCCCCCCCAGTATTTACTAATAGTGAAGGGTGGGAACTGGGGGGAAGGTACAGAACGAGAATAAATAGAATAAATAGCTTTAAAAAAGAATCTGAAGTGCCTCTGCCTGTTGGCAGCAACTGTGTAAAGGAGTGCAGAAAAAAATAAATGCGATGCATTGATTTTTAACCTGAGAGCTGTTTGTAAGTTCTGTGGTTAAATGCCCTGTATTTCCCTGGGAGAAGGAAGCCCTGCACAATGCTTCTGAAGCCTGGGAGCTGTGGGAAGCCATCTGCCCAGCACGCTAGAGGGCAGTTCCTCCACCGAACACATTCCACACTCTCACGTAATTAGGAAGTAATTGAAACCTATTCCTCCGCAGGCCAGCACGGGAGGCTGTAAACCACAGGAACCTGCTGCAGACCAGTTAGAAGATAAGCTCATTTTAACCGTTTGTTTTCTAAAAGCCATCTTGTTTGTTTGTCAGACGTGCATCCATCCATATATCCACCATCCTCATGCAACTTTCTGTGCCTCCATCCATCCTGACGCACAGCCCTGTGTATGCAGGCACATCCACTCAACCAGTTCTCCATCGCTTCTACTCAATGGCCCACATTTCCCTCATTCATTCATCTTCATCCAGCTAACCACCTCTCTTCTGGTGCTCCCACTCCCAAAATGTACACAAACTCCAGCCTATTGCATATTTGTTCATCTTTCATTCTGTCTGCGCACTCACTTGTCATCTTGCCATCAAGCTTTTCCTCTCCAACATCTTTG